CACACACACACAAATTAAAAGCCACAACAAAAACACTGCATGAATTTGCCTCAGGGAAAATGCACAAACATCCAGGCAGACAGGAAGGTACTGGCCAACCAACCAGACATCACTGTAACAGACAAGGAACAGAAGGAGGTAGTGGTGAAAAACATAGCAGTTCTAAGTGAGAGCAACATCAAGAAGAAGGGAGTATGAGAAGTACCAGGAATTGGAGAGGATGTGGAAGGTGAAGGCCAAAGTGGTTCCAATGTTAGTAGGAGCACTTGGACCTGTGACTCCTACACTGAAAGAGTGGCTCCAACAGATCAATGAGAAATGAATTTTATATATCTATCTATCATCTATCTATATATCAGGCACCAAACTCTTTAAATTTTTGAATGCATACAATAGTTTGTACAAGACCCAATTAAATAAAAAAAAAACCAAACTCTTTAAATCACCTGGGAACTTTTTCAACTGCCTGATGACAACATTTACTCATCTTCCAGGTTTTGCATCAAACCAGTAACATCAATTTATTTACAGTAGTAATGTGAGTGTAGCCACGTCCTAAGCCTCACACTGTACTTTGATTAAAAACATGTTTGGTATACAAGCTTAAATAAATTCCACTTAAAGAGCCCTCTGACTGTCTTTAGTCTTTAACATGAACTTGGGACACATCTGGTAGTACAGCAGACTTGCTTTGAGTTGTCTCTGGTCCTGAATTGTTGACAAAGTCTTCGTTGTCCTCATCATCAAGATGACCAAAGTCATCATCATCATCATCATCATCATCATATCCCCCAGACCTGTCAAAGTCATCCATTTCCTTCTTCCCTCGACCCCGTTCATTCTTTCTCTGTTCACCATCTTCTTCTTTGGTGTCAAGATGTGAGCCTACCCTACATAAGGAGATCAACTCAACATGAGGCACTGGCACATGATATCACACATTAACATGTACTTTCATTAAGGCAAAGGGGAAAAAAAAAATCCCCCAGACTTTGTTTCAATGTCATATCATAATGTAAACAAAGAAGCAAATAAAAAGTAAAACAATGTGTTAAACACATTAAATGGCAATGCAAAGTCTGAAACTACAATCCTAATTAATTGTTCCGAAGATCAGAAAGATTCCAAAAATCAGTAGTAATGTACCTCATTGTCCACAAGATGGCAGAAAAACATGAGTAATTTATGTAACGGCAGAATACAAAATGATAGTTATTACTCCAATTTATGTTTGATTGTGGCCACAAATAAACACACACTAACAATACAGAACTACTCACGGAATAACGATGTTCTCTTTCTTCCCACACTTGCAGCAGATCTCTAGCTGAAGAGAACAGGGCTTACAAATGATGTGATACGCATCCTTGACAGTCTTTTGAGAACACTTTACACTGAAAGAGGAACACACAAATGCACAAATTTGTGACACATGCTGTTACAAGTGTGACACACCTATAAAGTGGACATATGCAGTTATGCAAGTCTGTGGAAAGTCATCAGACAGGTTTAAACTTCCAGCAGTTCCTTTAAATCAATGTGTGCCTTTTTGGGTCTACTCTTATGTAACCTGACCAGAGGGTCAACATGATCCTATGAGACACTGACATGAAACAGGGAAAAGAAGGAAATCTTAGCTGTGATCAGCCTGTAACTTGCAAGTACTTTGACTGATAAATAAAGATACAGATTATTTAACCAAAACATAATTACAGCTCATGTTGATTGTCTGCTCGTGAATCAGGGGTGACAATTACTACCGACCTGTTCACTAACAAATTTTGAAGTGCTGGACAGTTGTAGCAGTGGAGATACAGTGGGTACGGAAAGTATTCAGACCCCCTTAAATTTTTCACTGTTATATTGCAGCCATATGCTAAAATCATTTAAGTTCATTTTTTTCCTCATTAATGTACACACAGCACCCCATATTGACAGAAAAACACAGAATTTTTGACATTTTTGCAGATTTATTAAAAAAGAAAAACTGAAATATCACATGGTCATAAGTATTCAGACCCTTTGCTCAGTATTTAGTAGAAGCACCCTTTTGAGCTAATACAGCCATGAGTCTTTTTGGGAATGATGCAACAAGTTTTCACACCTGCATTTGGGGATCCTCTGCCATTCCTCCTTGCAGATCCTCTCCAGTGCTGTCAGGTTGGATGGTAAACGTTGGTGGACAGCCATTTTCAGGTCTCTCCAGAGATGCTCAATGGGGTTTAAGTCAGGGCTCTGTTCCTTTGACCTCATGATTCTCATTTGCTCTGACATGCACTGTGAGCTGTAGGGTCTTATATAGACAGGTGTGTGGCTTTCCTAATCACGTCCAATCAGTATAATCAAACACAGCTGGACTCAAATGAAGGTGTAGAACCATCTCAGGGATGATCAGAAGAAATGGACAGCACCTAAGTTAAATATATGAGTGTCACAGCAAAGGGTCTGAATACTTATGACCATGTGATATTTCAGTTTTTCTTTTTTAACAAATCTGCAAAAATGTCAAATATTCTGTGTCGTACCCACTGTAAATAACGTCTGCAGTCCCAGTGGGTACTCACCATTTTCGGGGCTGTGTTAGTGGCTTATATTTGTTGTACTTGACTTTCCACTCAAGAACACCTTTACAGTGTTGACAGAGTCCATCATGGGTCTTTGATTTTCCCTTCTACAATTAAGATCACAAGAGCAGGGAATGTTACCATAATAATGTTATAAAATGGCTTCGACAAAGAAAATGTATTGTCATTGACAACTATGCCTGAAGTCGAAAATATGCTATGCATTGCTTGCACAAGCCAAACCTGACTACAGTATATGTTCATTAACATTTTGCAACAGTACTGTTTCAGGATGGCCAGCAGACACAAAATATTGTAACCTACACAAAAGCACATTGTTATCTGTATAACGTAGGCCTATCCTACTATACAACCTCGGCTAGCGTTAACTCAAAACCTTTAAATCCCTTTAGTTGAGTACTTGTACAGACTAGACACGTGTGCAGACTAGAGACACACACACATACAAGAATCCTAAGTTTACACACCTTCACTTGTACTGTCGCTCCGTACTTGTCATTCTTGAAAGCAGTGGTGTTTTGATGCCTCTGGCCTCGCGACCGTGATACATTACCTTTCTGTAGACTCATCCTATTTTAGTTACTCATGTTATATGTGAATACAAATCCGTCAACCATGCACATCTATGCTACCGTGCCAGTAAAAGTACTAACCCGGAAGAAGTACGATCACAACATCATTGGCCAAGCACCAATCATCTATCTTTCTCAAGTGATTAAAATAAATCAAACTAAATAGCTGTTTCATAGCATAAATGGGGGAAATTCCAACTCTCTTTTTACACTTACAAACACGGTTAATAATAATAATAAAAAAAAGCATTTATATCTTCAATTACCTCATCAACTAAACAGCTAGAAACGCTTCAATCAATACTGATTGGACTGTGCCTTCAAAATATTAACCTCCGATTGGTTCACCTAAACGTCAATTTAAGCATTAGGTCACCACTCTGCGGCGTAGACAGACACGCCCATAAATAACCCTGCTTTGTGCTATTGGTGGATTTGTTTTATTACCTTCTTTGATATTTGTTCATGTAGCTGTCAATCACCGCCTCTCAGGCCACTGGAGCCAAGAAGATAGCAAGTCGAGTGATACGTTGATGTGTTGGAGTCAAGGGATACTGCTGTAAGCTGTTTGGTAAATCAGTACGGGCGTGTGAAGACTTCAGGCAATTTTATACTTTTATTGAATATAGTCTACCCCTGCGGTTGGGTAGCTGATTTAGACTTGACGTTATGAATGAAAAAACCTCGTTCTTATTCAGGATCATATGTTGAGAAAACAGAGCCCAGGAAAAAGAAGCGACAGTTTCGGACGGAGTCTGGACCGGGAGGACGAAGCGCCTAGCTAGCAACTCTCAGCTTTACTGGAGGGATACACACACCTTACGTGACATCGTTAACAAATAGGACACGGAACACGGGGTAATCTGACCAAGGATAACCTTTACAACCTCCTGGTTTCGAGCAGAAGATAAGTTGGTTGGCTTGTAGCGAAGATAACACTTGACTGTGGCGAAATTGGCCAATACTATCACCTCAAAAAAAGAAGAAAACAAAACAAACGTCCAGGTAATGTGACAATCTCTGCGGCCAGTTTTTAAAGAGACATACGCACACTTGCATGTTTGGTGTCGCTGGCTGACTGGTATATCATTCTTGGCAATAAATTGTGTCTGGAAAAAGCCTCCATAAACCAACCCAGAATCACTGTAAACACATTACTGCCTCCACCACCAGTTTACAGTAAATAATTGCGGGGCTCCAGCCTGGTTCCATGCCAGGAACATTGTGGAGCATTTTGGGGTCTATCCTAAGCTAACAGTCTGGATTATGTATTTTGCTGCCGCGTGTTTTGGGAAGTCAGCATCTTGCAGAAGAAACATTAACATCCATAGATTACAAGTGTGGCGATAGAGAGACTTCTTACTAATCTCTGGTGACGCTACAGTTTTATATAAGTGGCACACATGTAATTAAATTGAATCGAAGTCACCTGTGTGATTTTTTAGGCTTAATCCACCTGTATCTGGAGGTCCACCTGCTGGTTAGATGATTTCTTTTGTCAAACTACATCATAACGACAAAGGACCATTCAAAACATCCATTACATGGTGAAACTTGAAACTTTCCGTGGCTGAGTATAGTATGAACAACTGTAAAAGATGAAAAGGACAGTTTAGAAAATTAAGTGTGCAAGAAGAGTACTGAGCGTGTTTGCCATAGGCCTATAGAAATCTGTAGCTCCTTCAGGCAGGCAACAATTGTCTGCTTCATAGTTTAACAGTAATAACTCACTGTTAAAAAGGTCACCTGACTTCCTGTGTAGTTTTTTTGCCAGAAGACATATGAAGTTGGCTCTAATGAGATTTACCTTATGGGCTCTAGTTTTGGTATAATCTAAACGTTGCATGTTAGCAGAAGGGACACTATCTCCACCTTGAAGCTGTGGTGGTAGTGCTATGCTGTTGGGATGCTTTTCTACGGCAGGACCCAGATGTCTAAAATGAAAGCTCCTTACATTATGACAAATGTGCAACAATGGACTTCAAACAATAGTCATATCCTGGAGTCATAATTATATAGACTCAGGTGTGTAATTGCAATGTTGTAATAACAGGGTGTCGTGTTACTTCTAGCACTTTCGTTGCAAATACTGTGCACAACACACCGTCATAACCTAAAGAGGAGAGGTAACCTTAGGTGGGGGTCCAGATGCAGGGTGAAACAAGACAGCCTTTTAAGACAGTACTGAGTGATTTTGGAGCCTTGAGGCAGACAGAGAACAAACACTCAATCAGGGTCAGCACTGTATCTGTTTTATCATCTTGGCTGAAAAAAGCCATGCATTGTGGAGAGTGGAATTGATAGTGTATTAATAAAAAAGCGACAGCAGCCCAGTTGACCTCCAATCTTGCACCATCGTATGCCCCACCCCACCTAGAACATCATTCAGAGAGAACAAGAGCTTTGTGGCACAGATTTGCTCTTGTGATGTTTTCCTTGTGATTACTCTGGAGGGAATGCAGTGGTAAATAAGTGCTTCAGTTGTTTGAGAGAGCCCAGATGCTCTTTATTTGATGAAACTCCCTGTTTTCTTTTATCATCTGATGAAATCTTTCTTTCTGTTATAACCATGCTCACTCTTCCTGTCACAGTGTTTTGAGGATGAACCACTTATCCTTCAGCGAGCTATGCTGTCTGTTCTGCTGTCCGCCGTGCCCTAGCAAGATCGCCTCCAAGTTGGCCTTCCTGCCCCCAGAGCCCACCTACAGCCTCATGTGTGACGAGAGTGGCAGCAGATGGACGCTGCACCTCTCCGAGCGTGCTGACTGGCAGTACTCTGCCCGTGAGAAGGATGCCATTGAGTGTTTCATGACACGCACCTCTAGAGGGAACCGCATTGCCTGCATGTTTGTTCGCTGCTCACCCAATGCTCGTTACACGCTATTATTCTCCCACGGAAACGCAGTGGACTTGGGCCAGATGAGCAGCTTCTACATTGGTCTGGGTTCACGGATCAACTGCAACGTCTTCTCCTACGACTACTCGGGTTACGGGGTGAGTTCTGGGAAACCCTCAGAGAAGAACCTGTATGCTGACGTAGATGCTGCCTGGCAGGCACTCCGGTCAAGGTGAGGACAAATGATGGAGGGGAGATGGGGGGGGCACCTGTATATGAGAGGAAGGATAGAGTAATTGATTAGAAGTGATGAATGCAGTGATGTTAGTGAAGCTGAGTAGCACACAGATTCAGTAATTGATTTATATAAGAGTGAAACCATAAGCCTGTGTGGCTTCTATGTGTCAGGCACTCAGAAAATTCTAATTAGTGACAGCATCTAGTATAACAAATTAAATAATATTGTATGTGAGACTTGACATGCATTTCATGGTTTTAAATTGCATGCCTAATATAGTATCATAGCCCAGATCTTAAGGGGGAAGGGAAGTGACATAACATGGATGTATATAAATAATGCAAGCAAAATTGCATGATTATGTTCTAGTCTGAATTACTCTTGTAGTTTTTCCCTATTTAGTAAGTCACAGATTAAGCCACCAGCTGTGTAAACAGTGAGGAGAGTGTCATATTAATAACAAATGTCTGCTGGTGTCATTTTCGTTGACAGCTTTTCATTAGTAGAGCGAGATGATGTTGTGAATGAATGCCAGCATTTCTTGGTTCTCTTATGCAGTGAATGTCTGCAGCTATAGGGAAGTTTCACAAGGTGCTAAAAGAAACCGTTGGGGACTGGTGAAGTAAAAGGTGGCGTAAAATAAACCCAGAGGAAACTGAACTGATGGGGAAGAATCATAGAGCCCCACTGGCATAACAAAAAGAGGTAGAGTAAGAAAATGTGAAGAGTGTAGAATGAGATGGGTGGAGTGGTGGTTAAGTTGAACCTGATAAAGTCATAGGTGGAGAGATGCGAAATGGAAGTTTAAGATGACATGATGTTCTAGTAGGTGATAATAAGGAGTGTGTTTTCTGAGATTACTCTGCCCAGCCATATGTAGGTGTTAGTGGGTGCTCTGCTGCATCTATTTGTTCTGTAGGCTATGAATAGACTGATTATCAGCAGACTCATATTTATTGGCTTCAGATTCTTCTTCTGATTAGCAATTGTTATCTTGTATCAAAGCTCTGTAACTACAGTGAAACAAGCAAGAAATTTATACAACTGAACTACTAGGAAACGTGTTTTCTCACCTTTAGTAACTTCCTCCAGACAGTGCCTTCCTACACGTCAGCAGTATTCATCGGTCAGTCTACTCTCATGTCCTTCACTTCCTTACATCTATGTTTAAGGGCCTCTGCTTATTGTCTTCCACCCTCTCAGCATCTCCTTCTTTTGTCCTACTCCATGTCTCTGGGGCCTTTGTATTGAGGTTCTACAAATATTCAGTACATACACATGTACAAACACTATTAGTCTAGTAATCAATTAGTCCATCAACAGAAAATTCATTGGCAACTGTTCTGATCATTTTAATTATTTGTTTGAGTCACTTTTCAAGCAAACATGTTCAATATTTGCCAGTTCCAACCTCTCAAATACTTGATATAATAGTAAATAAAATACAGTTGCACTTTGACTATGGCTACGGCAAAGCAAGCAACATGATGACTGTTAAGGAAAAAAATTGTTTCCTTTAATACTGTATAATATATGAACAACCATCAGAGAGTGAGAAATAGAAAGAATTGAGATGGATACATCTTCAGTGTAATTTATTTCTGCAGAAAGGAGAAGTCTACAACAGCACTTGGAGATGCTTGTTACAGAGACTCAAAGAGTAAAGGAAGATTCAGTTCAATATAAGGCAGAGAATAACGTCACACACAAGAGGAGGGTGCGCTGAGAACAATAATGTATCTGTATTCAAAGAGTTTCTAAATTCCAAAACATAGTGGTTCACATGAGATAATTTCAAGGTCTACGGATATTACAGTTGCTTCTTGCAGCAAACAAAGATACCTTAGGCATTCAGTGTGTCAGCAGAAACAGAGTTCACTTGTTCAGTGTGTGAAAGGTTACCACAGTTAGTTACCAGACTATAGCTTAATATGAAAATGAACAATATAAATGGATATACTGATAAATGCCATTACAATGACACATTGGGCTTTGAAAAATTATGCTAGGTGTGTTTCATTATTTTCTTAATCTACAGATGAAGTAGTTAACAGATTGAGCGGTAATGATAATAACTATTGGTTGTAGCCCTACACATGCATACAAGACAGATGCTATTACTGTGCACCTGTTCTGACTGAGAACAGGATGTGGAGGCGTGTACAGTGTTTACTGTATCTGTGTGTGAGAGAGTGAAAGTAATGTCTATCATATTTGTGCCTTTTGTTTATGTAGATGAGGGGGAAATAAAACTTCATCCACTCAGCCAGTAAGTTGTGTTTGTCCACTTCCTGTTGGAAGACAAACAAATGACCAAGAGAGGAGACAGGAATGTGTGCTCAGGACAATTAAAACTGCTGGAAGAGAAACGGGCACAGAGGGAAAAAACTAGCCTTGTCTTGTGTTAGTGCTGATGTGGCCGTGTTTTCTGAACATGGCAAAAGAAGGTGTTGGCATTGCAGAGGTTTAAAATGTGCTGAAGTGCTGGAGGAGCCACTGATTACAAAATGTTACTGTTTCTTTAGCTACTGACTTTTGCTGTGAGGCTCACACAGCACGTCTGTTACATTTTACACTATTTCTACCATTTCACTGAATATTTTTAGTTTTCTCTAAATAAGGACCTTTTCATGTAAGGAAGCTGATAAGTTAAGCAGGAAACTCTTAACTCATAAAGCTCCTACATACAGGAAATGGGCTACGGCTGTGAAGAAGAACCCGCTTTTCTGGTGGCCTGACGCTCTGTGTTGGTGTGTGTGTGTGATCAAATACATTCCTTTGCTTTTCTGTCACTCCCATTTTCAATGTAGCACCCTTCTTTTCAGGAATACCACACAGATGCTGAATGCCACACAGATGCTTTAGTTACAATGTCGAATGTGAGGAAGGCCTTCTGGACAGTCTGAAACACATTCTTTCTTTTTATTTCTATACACAGCACCAACTACTTAAAGCAAAAAGTGGCTCTTAAGGCCCCTGTGTTGTTCTGCTCCTTTTTCTGTTGTTAATACACTAAGGATTCTCCTGATCCCTCATTTAGTCATGACTGGTGCAAAAATTATCTTTGAAATTTCACTTTAGTTGAGCAGAGATGAATAGTGCACACCCTAACTGTAGGCTGCTCTTCTTATACAAGCTATATACATAGTTAAATGGAAATATGCATGTTGTGACCCACCTTCTGTGCTTGTCTTTGACACACTGTGTGGCCCAGGCTCAGTTTTTACTGCCTGAACAGATGCATTATGTTGAGGAATTCATACTATAACTATAATGGAATGTCATTGACAATGATTGCTTTGTTAATACGTATTTTGATAATCGTGTGATGCATGGTAAGTCCTGCATGTCATCACAGTTGACTCTAAACTTGAAAATATTAGCTAAATATCTGAAGCTAAATTTGAATAACAGCACTCTATATTGGCACTACCTAATTTGCCTAGGCCAACTAAGCTTTTATACCCCGATCAGATGGGGAGGCCATTTACCTGCTGGTGTTAGGCCCAGGGGATGTAAAAGCTGGAACAAGTGAACTGTTTCTGTACATGCTCTACATGATGCTGATTATTAAAAATAGCATGGCAGGTATTAGCCCTACATCAGTCTCAAACACGGTGTCACATGTACAGAATGACAGTCACATATAAAGTGTTGGATGTCTGTCAAACACAGGCCACTGTTTAGGAGCAGGTCATGAGATAATGTAATTCAGGGTTTTAGGATTTTGCTTTTGTACATGGTTCTTCTTCCTGAAGTCAGATATGGACTGTGTGCCACAGAAGAGATGCAGGCCATCGATCTGTGTTCACTTTATTTTCTCATGAGTGTCAAACGCAATGTAGACATTAAACCTAAGAAGTCAATAATACAGAATTAAATGTGCCAAAGAATGAGAGAGAATTCATATGGAAGTTCAATATACAGGTTAAATGATGTTTACCTATTATTTGGCCCCAAAGACGTGGGTGTCAGGCCATGCCGTCTTAAATCTTCAGAGCCCCACAATAAGCAACGCTATTTTCCAGACCTAACTTACCCTTAACACGAAGCATCGTCTTGATTATGTTTTTATAACATTTATATTGTCACTTTTATAACATCCTGTATTCTAGAAGAGCCCTGTTTTGTCACTTTATGAAAACTAGAAGATAAACACTTTGAAGGGATGATGCACTTGTCCTGCTGGAGCACAAAATCATCTGATCAGGATGCTCTACTACAAAAAAAAACAAAAACAAATTAATAAAAGATCATTGGTCAGTTCCCCAAGTCTATTTAGTATGCTTTTTCTGGCTTAACCAAATGACAAACATCAATTTTGAAATTTGTGGATGGGAGACATTGATCACTGACAGCTACCTCCTCTATTGCCATGTCAGTCTGAGAGCTGCGCAGGCTGTTCAGCTACAGTGTGTGTTATGTTAACAGCCCCAGCACAAACTGCTTATGATGCCATGCATGAAACACTTTTGGTTGGCAACACTCTGAGGCCTCCAAACCCCTGATGATATACCAACTCAACAAGCACAGCCCTTTGATGTTGGTCCCCTGCTGTAACTTTGGCCTTTTATTAATCAACAAAAATGTGGGGCTTTCAGCTCCATTCATGAGCACAGTTAAAAGTTAATTGGGATTTATTAACAGAAAATGTTGAAAACCTTGAATGAATGAAATCACAATTTTTTTTTTTTCCTATTATCCTTGGCCTTGCATACCTTTCCACTTTTGGAGGTACATAACCTTCTTAGTGTGACACTCGTCAAAGATTTGAGTAAATAAAGCCCTGAATATCATATCATATTTTCTGCCTTTTTGACAGTTTGTGTCTGATGTCTGTGCTGGTTTGGGGACTGACTGCCTGCGTGATCAAAAAAGGGTCCGACCCCGCTGAACGTAAATCGACCTGACTTTATCACATCAAAAGGCCTCTCTGCATTGCCTCACATTAGTCGGCTGCCTACGTCCCTTGTGCATGTTACTCATGTTTGATCAGACGCTCATTATAAAGAAAAGAGCAGCTCTCTCTGCTTGTTGGACTATGTCATTGTATGGTTTTCCTACCAACTGGCATTTTCAACACTAGTTCCTGATTATTTTTTTTTCCCCCTTGGTCTGTTTTTGTGTTCTGTCAATCTTTTTCTCCTTAAGCTGTCAGCAAACCCACATGTTGACATGCTCGTGTAGGCTGCTTTTTTGCTTACTCAACAGTCATATGACAGAGGGCAGCCAGCCTAGCAGTCTCACCACGTAAGCTTAGCCAAGCACACTGATGAACACTCCTTATGTTTCGTTGTTCATCACATTGGATGAAGCACTCCCTTCACCTGAGCAGGGAGTGGACCAGATGATTCACTTAGTGTTATGAGTCAGTGGATTTACACATCCTCCGTTATCACACATTACAAGTACTCCTAGAATATGCCAGGTCTACTATTTGTTGTACCACATTGGAAGAAATTGGACATGTGAAAAAAGTATGGTTTATTGACTTAGGAGTAAACAAACTGATGGAAGCCATCATCCCACTTTCTCTCTTTTACATAGTGTGTGTGTGTGTGCATGTGCACACATTATTCCAAATGTGGGGGCCAAAACCTTTTTTGTGACACTGTGGGGACTCAGCCTTCCTCGTGGGGACCAGATGCTGGTCCTTGCCATGTAAGTCATTGAATTTTAGCGTGGTGACTTGGTTCAAGTTTAGGGCTAGGCAAGCAGTGGTTATGGTTGAAGTTGGAGCAAGGCTCCAGGAAATTGACAAAAACAAGAATGTGTGTGTGTTTTCTGCTACAGAATGGCACTGTATCTTTTTCTTTTCCCTCTGGAGGCGGGCCAGCAGTCAATCCTGCTAGGCTAATATTGAGTTGTAGCCTAGCAACCGATTTCCAATGAGCTTTCATACCGAGGTCTTCTCACACTGTGGCCAATAGAAACTAACAGGAAAAACTCACTTCCTGCTCAGTCATCTTATTGACCTAGATCAAAACGCTATCCGTCTTCTCAGATGTCCAATAGAAGGAAGAAATTCTAACAAGCATGGATACGCAGGCAGGCACCTCACCATTTATGTTTGTTTAATTTTTTTTGCTTGAAGTGTCAGTATCGGTTGGGCTGAGACAAATGCTGCTGTGCCTGTTAAGTCAGTTGGGTGGAGTGTGATCGCTCACCTGACTGTTCACGCTAGTACAGAACAACAGGAAAAAGGTCCTCTATGTTTATTATCCTCCCCTCCTAATATTTAATTTGGTCTTTCTGACCTGTGAGAATTGAGCAACAAACAGAGATTGCAACATATATTTAGTTTCAAAACAACTCTGAAAAGGCAGTGGAAGTATACAATGAAATGAAATGAGTTCAAATGTGCATAAGAACACATCACGGGAGCATTTCAGTGAAGAATCCCCCTGCTGTAGTGCAGCTGGTACACTAATCTGTACATATGTTCAGGATATCCTGAAATATCTTTTAGTCATAGTGGCTGCTATGGGATGAGAATATTTTTGATCTTTGGGTAATGAGGTGGGCGGCCAAAGGGAAAGGAGAGATGACATACGGGAATGAGGGAGGATGTGATGCATAATAGATTGGATTGGTGTCAGGAGACTAAACTGGTGATGGTTCGATCGAGGACTGTAATAGTGGAGCGTGACTGGCTATGGTCTGTTCAAGCTGAGATGCAGTGAAGTATGGTGTACACCAGTGGTAGCCGGTCTCGGTGGACTTGCATTTGTGTGGTGCTGGGTTGTATTGCTGTTTTGCCATGCATGATGATGATGATGCTGCTGATCTGCACTACAGTCATCTTCATCTTTGCATGACCTTTTCTCAACGTGTGAGAAAGGAAACCCACAGCAGTCCATCTAACAATGCCAAGAAAGCAGCTGGGCCAGCAGTTACAGTGGCATTACATTATTTATTGTATTTCTACAGGAGTCCTCTAGCAAAGTGCTCCTACTTACAGAATGTTAAAGTATAAATGTCGAGTTACTGTAGGTTTGGGGACAGCTTGTTGCACTTTCCATGTATCATGTCACCTGATGAATAAGATGCCAAATGGTTTCAACTGAACCTCTGTGTGTTGACATTTCATGGGCTTTACTTTACATCCATCCATCCATGTGGTGAGTGTTTGTGAGTCTTTAGGATTGGTTTAGCCTAAGTGAAATTGCTTATATACCAAGTGGTCTCTACCAGGACACATCCGAGTGGTACTTATCTTTCAGATTGCTTGATTTTTGCAGACTTTTTTTAAAGGTGTTAGTCCTAAAAAGTCTACATCAGAAAGGGCAGTGTCATTTCTTTTAATCCAGATTGTAAAAAAATGATAGATTTTGGTTTTCTCCTCACTATCCTTCATCTCTCTCAAATGGCTGTATTATGTCGGTTAACTGAGATAGGCTTTCAAGTCTATGAATTGTATATTCTAGTCAGCCAACCGTGAGAGTTGGACCTAATGGTGTTAACACGGCAGCACTCAACAGTGTCCAATAACACTTTCCCATGCTGTGCCAGTATTTTCACCCCTATTTATACTCAGTTGACACACCAACAGTAAACAGCTCCTGTATTCCTGCTACTCTCTGTGTGTGTACATTCCCATGTTCTCTCTGATGTGGATTGCCAATACTTCAGTCTTTTACCCTTTGGAGCAGTAGGCCAACATTACTGAAGATCGTTCCCATGTGAAGGTTGTGTTAAATGTGTGCATAGAGTCGGTAATTATAACAGTCCATCAGAGCAGTGTGGAGTGGTGTTAGACTTGGTGTTTGTGCGTTGTTCTTTACTGCGTGTTACAGGAGTGCAGAGGCTGTAATGTTGAGCCTGTAATGTTAGTGTTCCTAATTTTAATAACAGAGTAGTGCAGAGATTTTGTCAGGCTGTTTACTATGCACTATCCAGCAGTGCAGTGGCAGAAACAGGGATGTAGTTTTCTCAGAGCAGGTTTCAGGTCGTCAGCTGACTGTTTGCTCGAGCTGGTCATGTTCTTCATAATCATCTGTGGTAAAACATTCAAGGGGGCGAATACTTTTAATAGGCACTGTAGATGTTGTTTTAGCAGGCCCTATAATCACCAAGTCACTGTGGCAAGACGTTTCAGCCAGTAATAAAGTATGACTAAGTCTCTGTCAGCACACAGGTGTGGGGGAAATGAGAGAACAATGGGAGACTAATTGGCAGTGGGAGTGGATTTACAAAGTGAGGAGTGAAACCTAGAGAATTGTGGTTAAAGCAAGTTTCTCTTCTCTTATGGGGAGCAGTTTGGAGAAAAAAAAATCAGTCACTAAATAATGGATTCCAAAATATAAAATTGGCTTTTTCTATTTTAACCAATTGACTTTTTATAATTAACAGAGGGTGAAGCTGGACACCTGCCAGAATCTGGTAGAGCACACAGAATCTACCTGAATATGTCTGTAAATATCCTGCTCATGGCCAGTGGACAGGATACCAGTGAACCACCTGATATTCAGAAACCCTGTGTGCTTCTCCTAGGTATGGCATCCGACCAGAGAACGTGATCGTGTATGGACAGAGCATTGGCACCGTACCCTCTGTGGACCTGGCTTCCCGCTATGAGAGCGCTGCAGTCATCCTCCACTCCCCGCTCACCTCTGGCATGAGAGTGGCCTTCCCCGACACCAAGAAGACCTACTGCTTTGACGCCTTCCCAAAGTGAGTGCACTGTTCAGACAGATGGCATGTATGAAAGCCAAGCTAAGGGTATCACTAATATCCACTGAAAGGCAGAGAGCCTCCCTGCACTGATATTTGAATAACAAGTTCACACACATTATAAAAAAAACTAAACACTGTATGAATGAATGAATTAGCCTCAAGGAAAATACGCACACACACACACACACAAGCTGACAAATATAGACAAATTTAGATGTGTCAACTCAAATCAGGAAGTGTTTTTGTTCTTAATGAGTCATAGTGCTCAGAAATAGTGTCCCTCTAGTGGCTTGCCAGCAAACTACCTCTGCTCCATTTCGGTCTTGGTGAATGTTCAGCATTCTATTCAAATGTTTTTGTAGGTATCATTTGTACTGTGTTTTTACATCACTTTCTCTCTGCTTCCTTATTTTTTTACTCCAAAGTATTGACAAGATTGCCAAGGTAACGTCGCCAGTACTGGTGATACACGGTACGGAGGACGAGGTCATTGACTTCTCCCATGGCCTGGCGCTGTATGAACGCTGTCAGCGCCCAGTGGAGCCACTCTGGGTGGAAGGAGCAGGACACAATGATGTGGAGCTTTATGGACAGTACCTGGAGAGACTCAAACAGTTTGTTGCACATGAGCTGGTTAACTTGTAGTAGAGCTTGAACTAAGGTTGGAGAGGGAAGAAGAGAAGAAGCACTGGTGTTCAGGAGGGGTTGGATGAAGGACAAAGGGTACCACTTTTATTTCTTGTGAAGTAATGCGGGTAGAAGTGTTTGTTTGTGTGTTACTGACTTCTCTTATTATGAAACACCTCTCCTCCTTGAAGCTCCAGGTTGCCCGGACTCAGGGCCTGCCTGTAGCATCCACACCACATGCTGCAGCTGTGCAATTACAAGTATTTGGTCTCGCTTGTAGATTTTCTTTATATAACATTGGAAATTGCACATTGTGAAAGTGTGTGAATGAAAGAGGAAGTAGATGTTTACAGTGCACAGACAACATACGTGTACGTGCAGTATATGAGTGTGTGTGTGTGTGTGTGTGTGCGCCTGTGTCACATTTTTGTTGCCTTTTGAGAAGGACATGGTCCATGGCTCTTGAGAGACTTCTGGTCAGCTCTTGAAGGCTTTTGAGTTTCTGAGAAACAACCTTGCTACAAACTGAAGTGGACCAGGCTCTCTCTAACCCAGCTCAACTCCATCTGACTGTGAGGACAGGTTTGGTCCCACACACTGCTGTCATCATGATTTTCTTTTTTCTGGATTACTCTTTATTACATTTTTTTATATTATACATGGTGTTTGCACATATTAGCTGTCAAAGAAGAAATGGACAGGCCAAACTGGCACTATCCAACTGTGCCAGTGTAGCCAAACGTTTATTACAAGACACTGCAGAGCAGACTTAGACACACAAAGAAGTGTACTTTGTACAAATGACATCCCTGTTAGAAACACCTCCAAAGTTCTGATAGCTGTATTCAGTCCCTACTTCTCTGTTTAATCATGCAGTGGAACCATCTGCAGCTCATGTAGCCAGTTAAAAGGCTTGGGCTGTGTATCCTTGACCAATAAAGTGCAGGTTATTTTCTAACACAGTCTTTTGAAAGCATTTTCACAGTTCCTAGTTTAGTATTGCTGCTGTAATACCGGTATCACTACACGGCAGTCGGTGAACTTGATGTGCTGGACAGTTTTGGGATGAAACATTTGAATCTTCTTTGGAAATAAGTATTTGCCTTGTTAGAATAACTATTGTGAAGCCCATTGTTGACAGTGTTTCTGTCTTTGGGTCTGAAGATACCATGTTAAATAATGTATGTAGTTAATATTAGAGATCCTTCTTAAGTACCTCGATCGGATCTTCCTAGATGAATCTTTTTATATGATAAAAATGTAACTACTGTGGCAGCAGCTGCAGTCTGTGCTGTGGTCAAGATGTGCACCACTAATGCCAATCAGAATTGAACAGTGAACACTTAACGGCTGGTGTTGATTCATTTTCACTTCAGGATAAGTTAAAAATGACAATATTGCATTTTAAGTTACAGAGAAACATTTACTTGAGTACATTTGAGCTGAAAATGTATGGTCACACTATGTGTACCGTATTATGTCAGTGTATGCGGCTCAGCATTAAATGATGGGCAGTGTTTTGTTTTTGTCTTAATTTTTTCTGCATGGTATGTTTGGATCTATTGTTGTCTGTCTGAACTGGCCTGTCAGTGCTGAGTGAGGCAAAACAACATACAAGCCAGCTAATGACACCATTCAGACTGTCAGTGCCCTGAGAAGCTACTGCATGCCACAAAAGGCTAGTTTCTGGAGTTTATGTAACAAAGACAGACTTGCATAAGAAAACTTAAACTTCTTATGGGTATTTTTAATACCTGTGTTACACTTGAGCCAGTGTTCACAGAAGGAGTCAAATACTGTTAAGTGACAGTATTACCAATAAGCCGATGGGTGCTACTGTAAACCTTCTGTCTGATAACTTACTGTACATGTTGAGAGGAAGCAAATATAGCCTGAATGTAGTGATGGTCTCTTGTTTTGAAAACTACTTTTTTTCCCAGCTCTGTCTAATAAACAAGGCTATGCTTTCTTTCATTGTAAATAATATTTGCACTGGCCATGTTGTCATTTTTTTTCTTTTACACTCTTTTGTCGTCATCTCTCAGCTGTACTTAGTCTTACTTCTCTTAACTCTTGATACGACAGCTATTAGACCAAGGTACGCCATCATTTTGGCTTTTCATATTGACCTTCATTAGAGTCATCTCTCATTTTATTAGATTAATTTTTATATAGCACATTTCAATACAGAAGGAACTTGTATGTAATGACAATATTAATATAGTAGTTCTAACATGGCTAGAGAAAATAAAATGGTATTTGAGAAGCAACCCAATTTGTGAAACTTTTTTCATTCTAGGGGAAACTGTTTCTTTCTTTCTTAATTTCATGTCTGTATTATAGATAGAGATGGGTCCTGTGCTTATGATATTTATATAACAATAATAAATAGTCTTCCTCTGTCTCAACAAAGAAAGCTGATATTTCCTGTCAACTGCAGTTTTAGTATTTCAACATTTGCATAATTGTGAAACACAACAGGGGGTGGACACCACTATATCAGACAGTGTTATAATTTAATGAAATAAAAAAAAAGCTGCCTTGCACCACAAATTGTCTTTGTGGATTAGAGAAAGGTAGTATTTGTATACTACAGTATACTGTTGTTCACAGCAGAACATGTTCTGTTCCCATGCTGTCCAACCTGTCCGTTTCTCACAAGGTAGGGTGATAATAGACTAAAGTGTTTACCATTTCATACCAACAGGCGGCGCTGTGGCCCAGGTTTAAGTCCATAAGCCCCGCCCCTCTGTCCATGCTACTCCAGTGTTCCTAGTGACCCATTCACTGACTCAGCGGAAATCTCTATTTTGTTTTATAAAGCATTACTGTAGAATCAGAATCGGCTTGATTAGCCAAGTGTGTTGGACACACGAGGAATTTGACTCCGGAACAGTGGCTCTCATTGTACATACACAATGTTCTTCCGTAAGGCAACGAGTAGACAAGTAAACAAAATAAAACTAAGAGAACAAAAAAGAATGAGCAAACAAGAAAAATGTGTGTACATTAGAGCAATAAAAAAAAATAAAGTATTTATAAATATAGAAATGTATACATACTCAGAGTTTAGGTTTGATTGGGAAAGCAACCTATCTCACTTTCAGATACTTTAGATTGGGAATAGACCCTCAAACACCATATAATTAAACTTCAGTGTTGCCACTTCAATGAACACAGTTTTCTAGTTCACGTTTCAGCTGCAGAACCACATTTTGTTTCCTGGTAAGTATGTTAGCTGTCTTCAGCAGAGGTAAATCACTGTCAAACCGATAATATATAAGCTGTGGCAACTGACATTCTGTGCAGCGACATAGTAGCTCCATACCAGCATACTGTATTAACACTCCAATTCCTACTATGTACATACTAAAATACAAGGACACTCTGTTATAAGACTCACTTAATTCCTGGGAAGAATACTTTAAAATAGGATTTAGACCTTCATGAAGTAAAATTATATTTATATAATATAGAGGTGAACTGTTAGTTAATTAAGATCTAGTATGTATAGTATAGTAACCTTGATCCTGAATTAGTAGGGCTTCTAAATAAGCTACTCTGACTACCACTACTACTACTAATAATAATAATATAATAAGAAGAAGTAGGATATCATTGCTCCTACGACCAATACATCCATGACATAATCATGAGTACCTCTAACCTTTAACGTATTTTTCTGATATATTTGAATGCGTCATCACTTCCTTCTCTCCAAGCCGCCCCTGCCTTCCTCTCGATGGGTCTGGGGGCTGACCGAAGCACAGACGACAAGCCAGTTCGCAAGAAAAACACCATGTGAAGTAAGGTGTATATATAAAAGGGACGCGGAAAGCAAACTTGCAAAGGTGAGAATATATCCATTTGTTCCACCACCACCACCGGGCCAGCGTATTTAACGGCCGGGCAGAGAGCGAATGGACAGCCGGAGAGGAGCAGGACACCGTCCTTTCCGAGCGTTCCCCTTGTGTCTGTGTCTGTCTGTCAATCATTGGGGGTGATAGAAGATTCACCGGGTGAACCTTTGACTTGTGAGTGTTTTTCTTTTTTATTTATTATTATTATTTTTACTCCTTGTGACGCGGCTTTTCTTAAGGTTTTATAAGCTAGTAAAAAGTGACTGGGAGCTTTTCGTGTGCCCAAGTTTAAAAGTTGTGTTGCTACGTGTCCTTGCAGGGACTGCGACTGTCAAAGTGGAGAAAAGTCACTGAAACAATAAAGAAAATCAATTTTAAAACGTCTGAGCTTACAACCTGTGTAACTTATAGCATATGCTGTCTTCCAGGTTCCTCTTTTGTAGGCGTTGGTGATTAGACCACCCAGTAGAGTGTAACGTTAAGGTAGTAGTGTTTATTTATGGTGAAGCAAGGTGGTGTGGAAGGAGCCACTTTGGCCAAAACAAGCCCACATATCAAAAGTAATGAAATCCTCCCACGTAACCCACCTTCTCGGTGTGGGCCAACTCACTCACCACACTTAATGAAAGTGTGGCAGTCTATTAGTAGAGCCAAGACAGCGCTGTTTCTGCCTAGGTTTTGAGTTAATATGATAAACACGTGGCTTACTGTTTGTCCCACTGCCAATTTTGATTGCCAATGTAAATGATGATCTTACAGCTGAGGAATGTGTGATGGTCTGTCCCGCTTTGACTCCAGTGCTTCCCCACATCTGTTTGATATTCAGTAGCTCTGAAATCAGGAAAGTATGAGAGCGAAGGAGGGAATGGACACGTCCCAGGTTGTTAAGAAGTACCTGAGGTCCAGTGTAGCCTTGTGATCGGTGTAATTTCCATTGTGCATAGCTCTTTATACTTACTCTAACAGGTGGGTTAGTAGCAGGGGAGCAAGAGCGGCCTGACCCTTTGGTGAGGAATGTGAGCCTGAGACAGGCTTATAAAGACGGATGCCTGGGGGATCATCCCATCACAGGGCTCCCATTGAGTCCATCTAATGCAGGCCACAGGCCATGATAGTATGAGCATCCAAAAGTAATGAGCATGGGAAGATGCGGAATAATCAGATGTAATTCACTGGAATAATTCAAGTAGAGGTTGATGAAACAGCTGCTGCTAGCCTTAGCTCATACTGTGACCTCTGTAAGTGACCCGGCCCTGGATGAGTCAGGGCGTGATTGTATATTGCTTTTGTTCATGAGCTGAAGAGGTTTATTGTGCTCCGGGCTAAAATGATGACTAATTGGCTTGACAAGACAGTTGTTGGTTTATGTGTGTCTGTGCACCCACCTTTGTGTATGTGAAGTACTGATACACACTCAGATGGAGTCACTCTAGGACATTTGTTGCAGTTTTGTACTTTTAACAATCACTTAAAAAAAAGGGTTGGTCACTTTTCAAATGGCCTTGAATTTGTGGAATCTTAAACTTGCTGACACCATGTGTATGAAGACGTATGATAACATGCGGTAATGCCATCACAGTTATACTGGGTGTTTCTGATTAAGAAAAGTGCCACTGAAGCTCTTTTTCTGCTGTGCCATTTCCTCTACTCCTGTTCGTTTGTGTGTGCAGGTGTGTGTCCACATTGTATATTTGTTTGTGTGTATGTTTGTCTGTGGCCTAGGTTCCCTTTGTGCTACTTTGTTCATTTGTGTGAAATAAAGGCAGTGCAGACTCCAGCTGGAATTTTCTCCTCCTTCCCTACTGTAATTGGTGCCATCTGTTTTGGCTGTGTTAACATAGTCTGAGGAATGTTGTGATTCATTATTCACAATCTCCTTCGTTACTGTGGACAGGAGAAGCTAGTGTCTCTCAGTTTAAACCAAACCAGCCAGGAGATACATTGACTGTTTGGGAGGAAATAGATTAAGTCTTTCTAGACGCATACCTGGAGGTCCACGAGTGAGATGTCTGGTGGTGCATTTCCCCAGAATCAGCCATTTTCTTCTTCCCCTCCTGCTGTTTTTAACTCATTTTATGTGCTTGTTTAGTATCTGCTTCCTCTTCTTTGACTTCTTCTATGTGTTCCAGCTTTCATTCACTCATTTGTTTCATCCCTTTACAATTTTAAGGGATGCTGTTTTAACAGCTTCTTCCTTATAATACCATTATGCTCACAACTAAACAGTCTTTTCAGGAAAATACAAATGTTTTTAATTATTTGATTCAAATAATTTTGCTAATAACAAACTTTCAATAAACAAACATACAGTAAGTATAACAACCACAATTTGAAAGTAATTTGTTTCACCAACTCCCATCAAAGTAACGTTTTATATGCGTAAATAGATGTGACACTGAATTGGAACAATAGGTTTTAGGCTTTGTGACGGTGGGTCTAAAGTTTTCTGAGGAACAAACATTCTCAGTGACTCCATTATTGGAATCCACATTCTGAATATATTTTATGTCTCTTGTCTCTTTCGCTTTTTCCTTTTCTCAGATAAAAGACACCTATACCATGCCGACCAGTGATGGCCCCAGCAACCTACCGGTCTTTGTGGCTCCTCCGCACGGCAATCACCAGAGGTCTCCAGGTTATGTACCTGGGCGGGTGGCTCCAGCTCGCTTGCCACCTCCTGCCAAAGCTCCACCTCCTCCACCGATAAAACCTCACGGTCCGCCGCCGGGCCGACAAGCTACCTTCAGCCTGTCAAGGGAGAGCCAGCGCAGGGAGCATGCTCTGAGCCTCCAGCAAAGAAAGAACACACTGATTTGCTTTGGAGTATCCATGGGTGCTTTCTTCCTCACACTTATCCTTGTCCTTTGTCTCACAAGTGGAGATGTATTAGATGGTCAGTATTACAAATTACTGATTGAAATGTGTTTTTTTTTGATAAACATCTCCATATAACCTATGACTTCTCAAGTTAGTGCACTGTTCCTTGCTGTATTACTGTCTCTTTATCTCTTTTTTTTGTTATCCCTGTCTCATTTGTTATCGATTGGTCATGTCTGCAGAGAATTGTCCAGACCACAACCCATCTCTTAGTACCTGGAACCCAGGCCACAAACCAGAGAAGGCTGTTGTTGTCAGGAGGGGCAATTTGTTTAGACTGGACTCTTCTGCTACCTTTCGTTCACTAACCATTCAGTCGGGAGGTAATCACATCATGTTGAGTATCATTTTGAGTTGTGACTCTGATGGATTCACATTTATTGAATATGATAATTGACAGTGTTTAGCAGGTTCACTTTATGGACTTTTGGATGTAATGTACAGCAGGGAGGAGCTCATGCTTGTCTTTCTCTGACTTGTCACAGGTCAGGTAGTTTTTGCAGACAATGCTGACGGCTCTAAAAACATAACCTTGAGAACTCATCACATCCTTATAGAAGAAGGTGGAGCCTTTCACATCGGTGCTCCCAAATGTCGCTACCGTTCTCATGCCACTATTGCCCTTGTGGGACGCTCTGACAACACAGCCGTCCCTGAGATCCCTGGCCTGGGCCGCAAATTCATCGGCGTTAAAAGTGGCGGAACTCTGGAGCTGCATGGTACAGAGAGAGTTTCCTGGTCTCTGCTGACCCGAAGCATCCCTGCCACTGGGCTGGCCACAGGGGGTCATGTCTTCCAGCGGAACTTCAGCAGAGGCATCAACCTGCGCGTGGTGGACCAGGACACAACTGCCATGCTCGTCCAGGAACGCTATGACACACACGAGTCCCGTAATGACAGTCGAAGACTCACCCAGCTGCTGCAGTCCCTGCCGGCAGGCCGTATTGTTGCACTGGCTGTAGGCGACTCGGCTGTCAAAAGTCTTCTGGACGAAACCAAGAAGGCCATTAAAGAGAAGCTTGGCAGCAACTTTGTCTATGACCTTAAATACAGGTAAATATTGCCAATTCATAAGCAGTGTTTAAAAAAATTTATTACACATAAATGAGCATGCATATTGATTCTCTTGATGTTGCTGTGGTGAGTGTGTTTGCTTTCAAACTCTGACAAAAAGCATGAGTAGGTTTGTGGATCAGCTTTGTTGCAGAACGTGCCAGCTCTTGCAGTTTGTACTGGATTTCCATGGCTGTGTGTTGGCTGCGTAAATCCTTTGGAGTGTTTTATTTGTTCTTGGCCCCCTGGGGCTGATAAAGAAGGTTAATGTGTTTTTACTTAACCACTCGAGTAATTCCTCTTACCTTTGAAGTTTCAATACTTAGACCAGCATTTTGTTCCATGCCTATCCTCCCTGGAACAATGTCTGTTTATTTTGATTTGGGATGTTCCTTTATGTCCCTAGTTATTCAGTTTCCTGTTTCGCCTACGTTTTTGATACGTTGTGCTCTGCCAGGAAAGGAAGCACAAACATGGGGCTAATGGGGTTATGGTCAGAGAGTTTCTGAGCATTATATTTATTTCCTCAAAATAACAAATACTGGAATTTTGATGCAGGGTGTGCCCTGTCCACATGGCTTAATGCTTTTATTAAGCTCATCAGGTGAAAGATTTTAGCTTTACATAAGATTAGATCTTTTGTTACTGTCATTCAAACACACATATGCACGTTTCTTTCAGTGGAGAGTCTGAGTGCAGCTTTTCACTCCAAGTTGCTCATAGCTCAGACTTGTTCTGGTCCTCAGTTGATTGAAAAGCCAAGTGCTATTCAGTGTCACATTTTGCCTCTGGGGGTGGGTGACAAGGCAGATCCCCTCAAATCCACAGCCCAGTGGCTGTTGTCTGTTGAATCAGACAACAGAGCCCTCTGTATGTTCAGATGTATATGGTCTTGTATTTAGTAGGGCTGGACCCAAATAGTTGAATGTTGTCAGATTTTCATTCAGTGGGTAGGTAATTGGTTTTCAGTTTTAGTATTTGAGACAGCAGGAAATTTCAGTGCAGTATGAACAAAGCCTCTTGCTTTGTATTGCTTTTTTAAAGCCATTTACAAGACGTTAGGCTAACTGAATTGAACTCTGCAGCAGGCTGTGGCCTAGCCTGCTGCAGAAGGTGATTGTCACTAGGTTTCTCATGGCCATTTTTATCTGAAAGCTGAACCCGTTTTCTTCTGCTGTACTAGAGACCGGACTTGCCAGCATGATGTTTGGAGTGTCCAAGGCTGCAAGTTGCAGCACACCCTCAAAAGCACACCCCGTCCCTTTCACCATCCACACCCTCAGGCTGATCCGCTCAAATAATAATAAACTTCTCCTTCATATTTAGTCATTGCAATCTCATTTAAACATCATTTTGTAACATTACTGCTTCATACTGAAAGATGGGGTTTAGCAGAATAAGAAGGAATTGCTTGCAACAAAAATATAAAGTTGGACTTGAAGTTTTGGACCTGGCAGGTAGACCCATCATTCCTCTGAACTGTATGAACACCCTTCCAGGAATATTCTGTCCTCATTTTCATAATCCCTTGACTTCTCTGACTACCTTTAGTTTTCTGCCTCTTTTTCTTTTATTTTATTATTGTATACACGTACAATATATGTATGTATTTGCATTCACTGATACTCAGCTGAGAGAGAGAATGTGCCAGTGGGAGCCAGGTAGGGGATGAAACAAATGATGGTAGTAATGAACCGTGATTTTCAGCCTCCAAAGGATGCCTAATGCCAATGAAGGCCTAAAACTCGATCATTTGTCGTTCTTTGATAAGGATGTGTGAAACTTGTCGCTGGAATGTCTCAAACTGACTTCCTCTCCTTACTGTCTCTTTCCCACTTCTCTCTACATCCCTCTGGTTTCTCCAGACAGGCATGGGCTTTGGTCTCAGTGATAGGCGGTGGTAATGGGTCATGCTCAGAAGATGTTAGGGAACATGAAAACCATGACACAGGGGGGAGAGCACTAGCAAGACGCAACTTCACCACCGTGGACGGAGTGCGCTTCTCGGTCACCGCCTACAGCGAGTGGAAGAATGGTAAGGAACGGTTTATGACTGAATCAGTTCAAAGTTGTTTGAACATACAATCTTGATAGTAAGTCAAAATTATAACACTGCTTTACCATTTGTTAGAGTGCTTGCTTTGTGCCTCCTATTATTTGTGTAGGAGGCCTATGTTTGAGACTATTTGTCTGTAGTTACAGTAACAGACTTCAGTATCTGGTGAACGAACAGGTTTGGAGAATGATTTGAGTTGTTTTAATTTGCTGCATGTTTCTTTCTACATCCCCCCCCCCAGGTTCCCCCATCTCAGGCTTCCAAGTCTGTGGACCAGGTGGTGCTTAACCTACAAGATGAAGTACAACCGACCTGGAAACCTGGGGATCAGATTGTAGTTGCCAGTACAGACTACTCCATGCATCAGGCTGAAGAGTTTACACTGTTGCCCTGCCCTCACTGCAACAGCAGGCAGGTCAGGATACAAGGTGAGAGAGAGGGAAAATTGGTTTGGTTTCCTGGGCTGCAAACAAAAACTGACTTTCTGTGTGGTTGTTTGTCCTCTGTTGGTCTACTGATATCTTGTGTGCCTGTGGCTTGTTATTTGATCCAAGGCTTGTAGTGCAGGTACCATTTTGAGCAGCACAGTAAAATATGTAGATGGTCAGAAAGAAAAAAGGAGACCAGAGCTATAGAAAGTTTGGTGCATATTACACAGCTTGTGTGAAGACTAATGACCAGTGCAGAGCAGAGAAAGACCATAAAGATGTTACAAAAATTCTTCCTTGTAGTCAGTACTGAGCCTGAGGTCCAGAAAGATCCTGTGTCCTGTTCAGCTGTTATGGTAATGTAATGTTTTTAGAGGGACTAGAAAGTTTATGTTTTGTTAGTAACCCCATCTTATAATAATAGTGGTGGTATAGATTTGAATGCATTGCCTCTGCTTCACATCCTTCTTCTGTCATCTGCTCCTCTAATGTGGTCCATCTCTCCATCTAACATATTTCCTGATTTCATTCTGTTATTGTCAGCAAACGCCCACTCCCTTCCTGCAGAGGATGGTGGATTAGTGTGTGTTTGTGTTGCTGCTGTGAGGAAGGGTTGAGCGGCCGAAGTACTGCTAGTTGTTAACAGTCAGTCGCACTCTGTGTGCAACGGTACTCTCTGGACCGTTGAACCAGCTGATTATTTTATTTTGTATATTTGATTGCATTTGCATATATGTGTCTTATTTTGCGTGTACTTAGTTTTTTTGTGTGTGCTGGTAGTGGTACTACTGGTGGTTGACAGTTATTTTAGTGAAAAGGTGCAAGTTTCTGTATGACTTGTGCGACCTCAGAAAGGTTACACAGGAATTTGAAACTCAATTGTGTTGCTGTGTCATTCTAAACTAAAGGCTTCTTTCAGCATTTGTTTTCTTCAGCCTTCTTTGGATGAGTGGAGTGATTGACGTTTGAGTTCATACAAATAATGTCCTGTATCTTTTCCAGAGTTTGCCCAATCATTTGCCTTTTTTTTTTTTTAGTATTGACTTAGTGGTAGCAAATGACCAAGAATGTACCTGTCTGTGCTGCCCAGGGAAGCCTCAGTATAGCCATGTTGGAGAGATCATAGATGGAGTCGACATGCGTGCTGAAGTGGCTCTGCTCTCCAGAAACATTCTCATCTATGGAGAAATGGAAAAATCCTGCTACGGAAACAACCTGTGCCAGTTCTACAACCACGACACCTATGGAGGCCACATCAAGGTGTGTCGTGTGTGTGTGTGTGTGTGTGTTTATGTTAAGTTTACAACACTAGGCCTTATTTAAATGTTGCATTTTGTCTGTTATTTCCTGATCTATGCATGGCGTGTTTCAGAATGACTAGACATTGTCATTAAAGGTCACTGAGTTAGCAGTAATATATGTGACACTTTTCGTACTGCACAGTTTAAGTGTGCATGCATTCTATATTTATATGCCATTATGAGAGGGATTATTCATGTTTCCGGTTTAGTTGAGAACCCCTGCTCACGTTCTACTCTCATCACTCTCTTCCTCTGTATGTTTAATTTTTATGGTGTCAGCTATAGCCACGGCCAGAGGCATTATGTTCTTGCGTTGTCTGTCCATCTGTGCTTCCTTCTGTCTGTCCATATGTCCATCTAGCCTGTTGTTGTCAATGCAATAAGTCAGGAATAGTTTGAGATAACTTCTTCACATTTGGCACAAGTGTCCACTTGGACTCAGGGACAAACTGACTTAGTTTTGTTGGTCAAAGGTCAGTGCCCTTACATCTGTCCCTTTTCTATGAATTTGGCTGGTTGGCAGAGGCATACATCCACAAAGTGGTAACTCAGGTTATGAATGACATATTCATCAGAAGACCTCCATCCATTCATTATCCATCCATTATCTTTATCGCTTATCCTGTAGAGGGTCGCAGGGAAGCTGGAGCCAATCCCAGTTGACATCTTGTGAGAGGCTGGGTACTGTACACCCTGAACTGGTCACCAGCCTATCACAGGGCTAACACATAGAGAAAGGCAACCACTCGCATTCACATCTCCCGTCAATTTAGAGTCATCAATTAACATAACCTGCATGTCCCTGGCCTATGAGAGGAAGCCACAGTACCTGGAGGAAACCCACACAGGCACAGAGAGGCATGTAGACTCTACACAGAATGCTCCCATTTGGCCATGAGCTTTTAATCTGGAACGTTCCTGAACAAACAGTGAGGATGGAATGTTCTTTTTTTCTATTGTGTAAAAAAATGTTTTTTTACCACATTAACTGTTTCCAACAAAAACACATATTACACAATCACACAATCTACCTCAAATATGTTTGAACTTCCCAGCACCAAAATCACAGCAACAACAGAGCCACCTCACACACAGCACAACACGGCACATTATCCTCAACAGTTTTTACACTACTCCAACCTGGACTTTGACAAGATGCCAGATATTTTATGTCAGTCTTTTGTATGAATATCTACGCTGTATATGCATGCAGATCCCATGCATATGTGTGTTTGTATGATGCACAGTATACTGTACAGTAGGTGTTTGTCCTTGGGTATCATGGCAGTGCTTACACTGTTATTTATTGTAAGTTAGCGTAACGAGGGATCTGATTGGTATGTATTTCTGTGTGTGTGTGTGTCTCAAGTGGGTGAGTTACAGTGAACTGGAAAGATTGGCCAATACTTCTTTAACAGTAACCAGACTGCATGGATTATGCCATACTCAGAAAAAGACCTCGTAGAGAGCAGTGCACTGCAAATTTGTATTGGATCATTTGTTGACATTTATGTTGACTTTATTTACTTCCTAATCCATTTTTGTTTTGTATGTATGCATTTCTATGTCTGTTTATCTTTTAATTATGTGTATAACTCGCATCTCTTATTCATAAAGAGGAATATTAGTGGTTTCGGAGCAGTTTGACTCACTGGAACATGGTGCCAACACAGCTGTATTTCATATCCCACTGGGGTCATAAGCAAACAGAATCATGCTGTGGACATAAGCCTGTAATTAGACCAGAGTTGGTAGACAGTTAGCCCATTTTTATGGCATAATATGAACCTTGTGTCGCCTGCGACAGGGCCACTTTAAAATCACCTTCTCTTCTGTGACTTAGCCTCTACTCTAACCTTTCATTGTCCTCTTTCTCTAACATCAGATCCTTGGTAACTTCTCATCAGTGCATCTGTCCCATGTGGAGCTGAAGAACATGGGTCAGCAGAGAGAGAAGGGCCGCTACCCCCTTCACTTTCACATGTGTGGAGATGTTGACCAGAGGGGAGGCTACTTGGAGCCCACCTATGTGGACGGACTCTCCATACACCACAGCTTCTCCCGCTGTCTCACGGTCCACGCCACCAATGGTCTGCTGGTTAGTGTTGGGTGGGGTGTTGAGTAAGTCTATTGTGTTGGTAAGGCTATAGAAACAGCAGATGTAGATGCCAGTGGACGAGGAAGTACTCAGATCCTTTACTTAAGTAAAAGTACTAATACAACATTGTGCAAGCAGCATTTCAGTCCTGTATCGAAGATACATCTAATTTTTAATTCTTTTAAATAAGGCTGAAACGAATGAGTTTTCATTATGGATTAATACGTAGACTTTTGACTCGATTAATCGCTTGGTTGTTTGGCTTAAAAACTTTAGAAAATAGTGAGAAATAGCATTACACTTACCCAGAGCCCAGGTGTGTTCGGATTGTTTTGCTTTCTCTGTTCATTATTATTCACTTGGTCTAAGGAAAAGCAGCAGATTCTCACTTCTGAGAAGCCAGGACCATGAAATGTTAAAATTTCAAACATTTAATGAAACTGTTATTATAATAGTTTGAATTTTCTGTTGATTTACTAATTGTTTAATCAGCTATCATTTCAGCTTTATATACTATTAGAGAGTTTAATATATAACAGAATATATTTAATAAGATCTTTGTTTTGTGCGTAAAGTCTTGATTGATAAAGTAACTTCTAACTAAAGCAGTCAGATAAATGTAATGCAGTAAAAAGTACAATAATTCCAGCTGAACTGTAGTGGAGTAGAAGTATAAAGGTAATAAGGAATGGAAAATACTCAAATTTGGACTTAATGACACCAGTTGAGTGAATGTTCTCTGTTCCATTCCGCCTCTGGTAGACACAGACAGCTCCCACAGTACCATGTGAGCAAGTCATGTTTTGATGTCAAACAATGATGGGTTAAGTTTTGTCCTTGAGAGCACATGATTGAAATCATTCTTCCTAGATGGATCAAGGAAATGGAATTAACAGAGTTCAAGATAACATTGTTTGACTGCCATTGTTCCCATTTCCCTTTTGGCTTATGGTCATGTGAATATTCTCTTGTGCCTCATTTTTATACCTTCATGTCATCAATGGCCATGGCCGGTGCATTATGTTTTGGTGTGGTTCGTCAGTCCATCTGGCCCATTTGTGTGAAGGCGATTTCTCAAACGCCTTGAGAGAGTTTCTTCAAATTTGGCACAAGTGTCCACTTTGACTCAGGGATACACTGATTTAGATTTTGGCAGTCAAGGGCTAAGGTCACTGTATCCTCACCTTTGTCCCATTCATGTGAATCTATCAGATTAGTGGAGGCATACAACTGTAGCTCTCTTGATGTCATCCCTTACTACATAGCTTTAGCAAGATTTAATTGGACTTAGTAGAAAACAGTTTGAGGTATTGTAAGTATTTATGGCAGCAGGCATCCAGCAGTTGCAACATACTATGTTTTTCTGCATGTTGTTGATGATTCCTGCATGGACTGAGTGTCCTGGCCTCTGTTTACCAAAAGTTTCTGCATATTTCCATTAGGTGTAAACTACCTCTTCCTTGAAAAAGGAGACTATCATGAATGGGACATTGTGGTGTACTATATTTATTTTTCTCTCCTGCCAGTGACTGTAGTAAATGTCTGTCTGTGCTGTTAATTATTATTATTATTTTTTGTACCTTGTGGTTTTATTTCTTTGACCCAGGTGAAGAACACTGTGGGTTATGACACCTTGGGTCACTGTTTTTTCCTTGAGGATGGGATTGAGCAGCGTAACACTTTATTCCACAACCTTGGCCTGCTGACTCGACCCGGGACTCTGCTGCCCACTGACCGCAATGAAACTCTCTGTACCAGCATCAAGGACAAAGTCCACAAGGGCTACACTCCCTCACCCAGCACAGAGTGCAAGTAAGAGATTAGGAAGTTATGTCTCTGATGTGAGTACAGAGCAGACTGATAAAGGATATCAGGTTCTGTACTCCTATCAAGAACTTGTATTTGAGTAGTTACATTTCATTGCATTGCTCACCAACCACTGCAAGTGAGGGAGCTAGGGTAAGGAATCAGTTTTTTTCACTTTTTAAAATTGTACACTTATGTTATTAGTTGGGCGGCATGGTGGAGAAGTGGTTAATGCTGTCGCCTCACTGCTCACTGTGCGGAGTTTGCATATTTTCCCTGTGCATGTGTGGGTGGCTGTGGGTAGAGCGGTCGTTTCCCAACTGGAAGGTTGGAGGTGGGAATCACTTGCACTTGCCCTGAGAGTTGTGAATAAGCTAACATCTGGTCTCTAAAGTAGCTTGACATTCAGTAAGGAAATATAAAAGGTACCGATCACTAATCTTGTTTTTGAAAATGGTGAATAGTGGGCCCAACTTAACACATAATTTGTGCCACTTTTAAATGTATTCATGTCAGAATACTGTACATCTTTGATCTGGAGTCGGTGTGGAAAGCCTGTTGAGACAGTGCAGACATACTTTTGAGAGAAGACAAATGGTCAATGTCCATGTGCGAGAAAGAGATTGTAGCTGGTTATGTTGTGCGAAAGAGATATCGTCAGAGTATTCTTATCCATGCAATAACAACCTCTCCTCTTCATGGGATGTTTTTATATTGTACCAGGCACAAAAACAATTTCTTTGAAAGGGAGGCAGCAGCATTTGTTTCAAGGAGTTTCTGTGTGTGTGTATTTTGGCAGAACTGAACCCATCCCGTGTTTATGTTGGAGAGGTGGATTACTCTGGGAAACTTCACAGGATTCTAGCTTCTGCTTATTGGTCATAGTCTCTGATATGGCAAGGTACTGTCCTGTTAAAATCTCAGGGTGTTTTTTCTTTTTTTTCCAGGGCAGTCTCAACGTTCTGGATTTCCAACCCCAACAACAACCTCATCAGCAATGCAGCAGCTGGTTCTCAGGTAATAACATCAGATATCATCAGGAGACAGCTGCAAAAAAGTTTTAACCAAATAATTAAGAAAAGAAACGGTGAACAACAAGACAAATGTCTTATTGATATATTATGTGGCTTTGGTGTCCCTGAACTTTACATAATAAAAATGAAATCTTTTCATGCTCATAACAATCATCCACCCATCAATAAAATGGGTTTTAACAGGCTTTAAAAAAGGGGGGGTGTCAATACCGAGTGAGACCTTTTTAATATTTGAAAGTAGATGAGAATCTCACATTCCCTCTTCTTTTTTCATTTCAGCACAAACAATGTGGAGGTCCATAGGGGTGGGCTATGCAGTATACTACTGTACTTATTGATGGGGGATATGATCCACTGAGCTCATATGAACTTCTACACCTGCTTTATTTTTGCTTGTGGGACTTTACAGTCATGAGAATAGTCTGACATTCTGCCCTGTCCTTTGTATTATTTTTGTAAATTACTGGTTGTGGATTGGAGTGTGTATGTACCCAGATAATGAAATTCCTGATGTAGTCCAATTCTACCACAAACATGATTTGTCTTGTTTATCACCTTATTTCTCTCCTCTTCCTTTTTCTTTCAGGACGCTGGCATATGGTTTGTGTTCCACAACTCTTCCACTGGCGACTCTCATGGGCTGGTACCAGAGACCAAGGCTGAGCTCACTCCCCTGGGAATTTTTTACAACAACCGTGTACATTCCAACTTCAAGGTATCATCAGTGTTGCTTATCAGAGCTTTCTCTCCCATATTCAGCACAGTACCAGGCTGTGCCAGACCTCTTTGTGCTGTCTCTTTCTCTCTCTCTGTTTTTAGAGATGAGAGAAATGTATAACTTGTAAAGAGGACTTCACATACAGTAATCCTCTGCTTGCTTACTTGGTTCTTTTCAAAAAGGGGCATGGATATACACAGGCTCTCTAATAGTGCTCTATATAGTGACAGAAGTTGGGCAGGTGAACTGTAAGTTCTTTGTCCAATCTGACCACAGCAGCCTCTCTAAAGAGGAAGGAGCCCCAAGGTTAAAGATGCTTTTACCAAGTCAGAGCACAGGTTTCCATATACATAGGTCACTCACAAGCACACAGACGTATTACACTTTTCCTTTTCTTTATTTTACAATGTATTTTTTAAACATACAAATCTAATCCATATGTTGGGAGTATGTGTGTTTATTATATGTTCATATATGTGATAAATTATTCACAGGAGTGAATGTGCAGCAATGCCTATGTAAGTCTGTTAGTCCTGTTTACGTCAGTCCAACCAAAATGGACCTGAGGCCTATCTTAGACCACAGCTTTGGAGAAAACATGGGGTTTTACGACAATAATACTTTCATCTTCCTAGGCAGGACTGTTCATTGATAAACGGGTGAAGACAACCAATGCCAACGCTGCTGACCCCCGGGAATACCTGTGTCTAGACAACAGTGCCAGGTGTGTGTATATGTGTGTGCATTTTACATTTTGAGAAGTATACACTGTTTCCTTTATACTGTGTAAAGAGATATAAGTGAATTTTTAAAAATGATTTTAGACATCTGAACTAGTTATGGGTAAGGATTTACAACTGACTAGTACTGTACATTTGCACAAAGCCTACACTGTATCTATGCAGTATTAGAGGGTCTACAGTGGGTAATCGTATGCTTTATGGTGTACAGTTAAACTGTTTAAATATTAAGGTATTTGTGGTTTACTAATGTATTTGTCTAATGCCACTGTCAATAACTGTTTATAAATCATGTTATTTAGAGCCTCCTACTATATCTTTACTAGGATTTGGTCATTGACTGGGATAGATAGGTGGCTTTATACTCATAGCATTTTAGTGGAACCTCTTCCAGGTTTGTGTTGACAGAGAAAACAAGGCCTTACAGATAGTTTCCACTCTGCAGCTGCTCCCTATCCAAATACAGCCCTCAACTAGATGGGGAAAAAAAATTTGTGTCCGCTGAGAGTGCAGACTGTGTGTGTGTGCGTGCGCCTTTGTATCGCTTACATCATGAGGACCAAAACCTCACACTCGCACTGTGGGGACTCAGCCATCCTTGTGGGCACCAGAAGCTAGTCCCCACAAGGAAAGCACTGAATTTTAGGGTGGCAACATGGTTTAAGGTTAGGATGAGGTTAGGTGTCAGGCAAGTAATGGTTATGGTTATGGTTAAGGTTAGGATAAGTCCACAGGAAATGAATGTAAGTCAATGTAAAGTCCCCACAAAGAATGAAAACACAGTGTGTGTGTGTGTGTATGTGTAGATAAACATGTGTGCAGTGGTATGAGAGGGAGAATTAAGAATTGTAAAATGTGTATATATAACAGCCATATTTCCATTAAATCTGTGCATATTCATACTATCTTGAGCATAAATACTGATGTTTAATGTGAACTTTGACTTCAGTCGAGGACAACAGATAAGGTGAGAAAAGCTCTATCCTCTTTTCAAAATGACAAAAATAATTATTGCTTGCTTTTGGCTTTTTACATGAGATATTTCCTAAAGGGGAAGATTGGCATAAAAACATAGATGCTCCCAAGAGAGAGAAACCTTTTCATATTTAATGATAGCATGTACACATTTGCAGTGCTAGTTGTAGTCTTCAGCAGTGGGGCATTAGACTTTAGTTTAGTTATAAATTATCTCAGTGCACAGTATGACTGTGTTTATCAGTTCCCTTAGCTGCTCTTAACCCCCCAAAATTAAGTTTAAATCATTCTCATGTGTGCTTGTATTTTGTCCTGTGCATTGACTTTCAAGAAATTAGGAGATGAATAGGTTTGACATTGTGATAAGGGAAATGAATGTATTGAATTGAACGGCACAAAGACAATAATAGAAATGTGTGCCTTTGACGTTTTTTTCCTCTTTTCCCAGATTCCGACCACACCAGAATGCTGACCCTAGCCGTCCTCGGGTGGCAGCCGTCATCGACACTCTGATCTCCTTCAAGAACAATGACTTGGGAGCATGGATACGCGGTGGTGACATCATCATCCAGAACTCGGGGTGAGACAGCCCATAGGTTGTGATGACTGATGTCATGTCTTCAGTAGAACTGAAGACTTGGGTGTTTCTGATGAAACATTCTAGGATGGTGTTATCACACAACCTAATCTGAGATGATGAATATTGGTGCTGGCAGAATGATGCAATTCCACTGCAAATTACTGCAAATTATTAAGATGATAACATATGTGTTTTGTTTTTAACTCTGAACAGCTTTGCTGACAATGGAGTGGGATTATCTTTTGCCAGGTGTGTAATTATGTAAACCTCTCTTCTCTTGGCAATCTTATGATTTCATTCAGCCATATTTGCTTTTCATGTCTCTGTGCCAGATACCATTTTTAGTGATAGTTACTGACTATATTTCTGACCATATTCTGGTCACAAGCATCCCTTTCTTGCTTTACACAGAGCATATTTTTTCTTCTTCTTTTGCTCCTTAAAAGCACAAATGATTGTAAATGTGTTTACATGTGATATACTGTATCATATATGTGTACATGAATGATATTAATGCCCTTCTTGTACCCTCATTATTCTCCAGTGATGGCAGCTACCCTAAGGATGAAGGCTCCAGCCAGGAGGTGACGCAGTCTCTGTTTGTGGGTGAGAGCCAAAACAGAGGAACCATTGGAGGACAGAATAAATACTCGGGACTAGGAGGTGCTGATGGAAAGATGAGGACGCTGCCTAGAAACAGGTGGGGGATAAGTTAATTAAGGGAGAAAACATCTACAGACTGGTGACAAATTAAAGAAAGAACCTGAATAAATGAGTGGCCTCTTCCAGGATGACAGTGCTTCCATCCATAGGGCAATAGGGCTCACTGAACGGTTTGAGAATGAAAATGACATGAATCATATGCTATGGCCTTCATGGACACCAGATGTCAACCCAACTGGTCACCTGTGTTAGACACTGATGTTCACCACCATCATCAAAACACCAAATGAGGGAAGATCTTTTGGAAGAGCAGTGTTAATCCCTCCTCTAGAGTCCAGAGACTTGTTGTTGTTCTGGTACTAAGATCCTTAATGTTGGCTTTTCCCCTTATTTTCTTTTCATCTGTATATGAGGAATTGACAGAGAAGTCAAAATCCATTTTCTCAGGAATTGCAGGGAATGGTTTTGGAGAAGTTGGCAAAGAAAAATATGCTGGGAAAAATAAACAAGGAAGAGTGAGTGCCAGTGAGCCAGTCAGGTAGTTACATGGACGGTAGGTGGAAAGGAAGTTTTGTTTTGACTGACTTCCCAGCTGTTAAATTAAAAACTGACAGAAAATTTTAACATAATTTTGTACTTTACAGCAACAGACGTTTTTTTAAACATGCTCCCACTGAGAGATAAACTGAAGAAGTCCAAAGATCAAAAGTGTGTCAGTTTTCCTCTACTTGGGCCTCACTGATGGTGCCTTCAGCAGAAGTTTAGTCTTTCCAGGTTGTAACACGAGAGCTGAGCTTGCTTTCTTTCTCCTTTTCTGTCATTACAGTCAGTGTTATACAAGAGGAGAGCAACATAAACAAGAGACTGGCAAATAGCTATGTGGGTTTTTTTGGGGTGGGGTTGTTCTTTCCCAGTCCCAAGAACTAGGGTTTATGACCACTGCCACCAGTGTGTATAACTATACAACCGTTTTGCAAGCTCCCTGACCGCACCGTAACTTCTGGCTCACTCGGTTTGCCTCCCATCATCATGGTTACTGCCAGAGCTGCTCACAGGCTTTGTTCATGCCAAAAAGAAGACACTTCCACTAGTATGGATGGAAAAATTGGTGCTTTAATTAAATAGCAAGTTTAGTAAGGTTTTATTAATAGCAGTTAAATAAGATGGCCAAGTCTGATTTATTTATTTGTGTGAGCTTTGCTGCACCCACATTATGAAATAAAACCAAATTCAACTGTGGCTCTTTGTTTAAGCAAATAAAAACTTCAACCTCAACAGGAGAAAGCGATTATATTTATTATTGAATTAGTTTTCAAGATCATCTTATTAACTTATCCAACTTTTCCCATGTGTACAATTATTTTTTTATTTGTCGCACGCTATTAGAATATGTTTTTTTTTTCAGTTCTTTTTAATAAGTTTGTTTTTCTTATAAACGTATGCTAAAATAACATTTTCTGCAGCTCTAAAGTCACTATAATGTCCACATTACTAATGTTAACATAGCTGGAGTCATTTTGGAAAAACCCTTGGAACTGTAACATTGATTCAAGACCCATAGGGCCAAGAGTAATGGATCATGTCATGTCTGAGGCAGCTGATGTCCTGCTCCCTGCTGATCTCATGGCCTAGCTTAATCATTTTGCAGTTTTTAACATGTCCCACTGAAACCCTTGTTTCAGTTTGGGGTTTTATCCAGTCCATGACTAAAACCTTGGGTCATCCATTTGATTGATATTTCTTTGACTCGGTTTACTTCATTCATTCTGTGCTACTCATTTATTGCTGTCAGTTTAGAATTTATCATGGGCTATTCCTTCTCCCTCTTCACTGTAGGACGTTCCCTATCCGAGGTTTCCAGATCTATGATGGTCCAGTGCGGCTTAAACGGAGTACATTTACTCGGTTTGTCCCCACACCAGAGCGTTATACCAGCTCAGTGGGATTCACCCTGAAGAACACCTGGCAGCTCTCCCCACAAAACAACCTGTCCCAGCTCAGCTTCCACTCCACCGTGAGTAAAAGTATATAGATTTGAAAATACTTGGCTTGAGACAGCATAAGCAGATTGTACAGTTGAGTGTGTTGTAAATATGCATGGCCTGTGTCAATATTAAAATTACTTTGACAAATTAACATGATGGGTTGTAGGCCCAAATACAATTACCCCTGGGAAACAGTCCACCACTAGATTTCAAATATGTATACTGGTTTTTAGCATATAGTGCCATATTTTTGTTATAATCTGGTCTCAATCTATTAGTGGTTTATAAAAACTATTGACCACTTCCAGCTTGCCTGGTCTGATGTAAGTTCGTGTGACATTATACAGTAAATACCATCATATGACTAATTGTGCTGTTTCAGCGTTGTATTTTCATCCATCCTGTGTTTCGCTCTTCTCTTCCTTCCTCTTTATTTGTGTTGCTTCTTAGTGGGGTTTTTTTCCTACAAATTCACTGCTATTAGAAATACAGTAGTTGTGAACAGTCTTTGAATTGAGATATTTTTTTAGAATGTATTTTATGTATAACCATCCCAGCTTACTGATTAGATCAGGTCAGGGTGGTGGAGCTGGCAGTTAATGAAACATCAGTTTGAACAGATAAAAGGAGAAGAAGAGAGGACCTGGTTCAGAGTGAGGCCTAGATTGTAAGTCACTAGTGCCCTCTTGTGGTGGTACAGTACAGTGCAGCCTTGTTTTTGATGTGACATTTAACTAGGTTACTGGTCCTTTAGAGGTACTGGATGGTTGATAATCTTAGAAAAAACCATGCACACAAGAGTGAAATACATGTAATATAAGACAACCTCTTTCAGTGTCAGAATATTTTGGCTATGCCTAGTCCTGCCTTGCTTGTAAAAACCTTTTATTTTGGAGTTCTTGTAAAGCAGCAAAGCTGTATTATGTTGAATTGAGAAATAACTGAGTAAATAGCAGCTGTATTGGAGAGAACATACAAACATTTACCAAAGATGGCGCTTAAGCAAAGCAATAATACTTTGATAAGTGGCACTATATTCTATATTTGCCATTCATAACACTCTTCATAACATGCTTTTCTAATGGCATCCTCAGGTGGATCTGCGGGCATTCTTTGGCCGCCCTGGGCAGTGGTTTGAAGAAAACGACCTGGACGGTGACAAAAACTCTATCTTTCACGATGTTGATGGCTCAGTAACAGGCTACAGAGACACTTATGTCGGCAGAGCAGACAACTACTTGATCCAGCATCCTGGCTGTGTGAACATGTCTAAGTGGAATGGAGTGATCTGCAGTGGCCGCTACTCTCAGGTACAGCGTGTCAGGGTGTCACTATGAAATATTGGGTGTGAAGCGAGATGCAGGAGACGACGATTTGAAAAAAGCCTATCGTAAATTAGCGCTGAAATGTCATCCAGATAAAAATCTGGACAGTGCTGAGGAGGCAGCAGAGCAGTTCAAGCTGATTCAGGCAGCCTATGATGTCCTAAGTGATCCACAGGAGAGAGCTTGGTATGACAATCACAGAGAGGCCCTGCTGAAAGGAGGACTGAGTGGAGATTATGAAGATGATAGCATTGATCTTCTCCGTGTCAGGTTATTCTTTTGTTCTGTTTCTTATGTAAACCTAGACCCTTACTTATCCTCTTTTCCTTCAGGTGTACATTCAGACTCGGGGAGCCCCCAGCCTTACTTTGTCCATCAGCAGAGATGAGTACTCTGCTGCTCCCCTGGTACTAAGGGGGATTAACAGCCAGGCGGCACTGTCTCAGCAGTACCAGCCCGTCCTGATGATGAGCAAGAGCTACACTTTGCACTGGAGTGGACCTGCACCCAGAGAGATTGTCCTATCTCTCATCAACTTTGATAAGTGAGTAACATGAGTAGGCAGTGTGTATGTTGTTGCTGCTTAAAGTGCCTTAGATTTTGTGTTATTTATCTACTTTATATTTCATTTGTGTTTTGTGGCATTCATGTGGACAGCAAAGTAAGAATTTCATTGTACAGGGAAACACGTTTCCTAACTGTGCATATGACAAAATAAACACTTTGAACTTTGTATGTGTGTATGAGTTCAGCTGCTGCATGGGGTTTCTGTAATGTAATGAGGATATATTCTTTTCTCTGAGAAAAACCATGAATTATTTTTAATTCATGTCCTTCAAATAAGCAGTAATATACCAATTCATATTCATACCATGACTACATTACATTAAATTGTTTTTCAGCTGTGCATTGTGTTGATCACATTAGAACCATTCTGACCTGGAAAAAAAAAAATCTCATTAACAACCCAGAATGTAATAACATTTTTTTTCTTCATGTTCTAATTTGGCTTGGGCGAAACCTTGTGTAGTAAAATCTCTCTCTCTTTCTCCCACTCAGAGGCAACTGGGTGCTGGTGGGACTCTGTTATCCTTCAGACACCACATTTCAGGTCATGGCCGACACCAACAATAGGCAGAGCAACACCTTTGATGACATCATAGACTACGGCACTGTGTCATCCCTTGCAGAGCTGGAGAAGAGACCAATGGACAGGAAGTACTACTTTGACCAGTCTGTTGGGTGAGAGAACATGACAAAAAGCACTTCAAAATACTGGCACATGCTCACAAAAAAGCAAGAGTGGATTAAGATTTGTGGATGTTTCTCTGAGGCTGCCTAGTTTCTGAAAGTTGATTAAACTTAGTGTATTTCTTCTGTTCTCTTCCCATCACACCTAGCTTGTTGTGGCTCTACCTTCGAGCCCGCCACAGTCGTGACGGCCACAGCTACTGTTCAGTAAAAGGCTGTGAAAGAGTGAAAGTCACGGCCACCACATCCTCCAGACAGACTTGTAACTGTACAGCTAAGACCTACCCGAAGTACTCTAAGACTCCCTCAGCAGTGGTGCCTATGCCGACTCGAAACACAAAGCCCTGTGAAGATTGTGGTGCTAAACAGGTTCATATTGCTACATTTAAGATGACTTCCATTCAGTAGCATAAAACTCAAGCCAGCACTGCTGACAAATGTTTTTGTTTCAGCTTGTGTTTTCCAGTGAGCCATGGACAGCCTACCTCCAGACTCAAGTCAAGTCTCTCAGCAGAAAAGAGGAGCAGAGAGGAGATAACAGCTCCTTTATTACTGTGAGCATATCAGACCTCAAGCACTAAAATAAATCCCAGCATCTCATACTGTACTGTCTTGTGAATCAGGGTTAATTCAACCTATATTTTCCTGTCTCCTGCCAGGTGAATGGAGTGACCATGTCCTTCTCTCGGCCCGGGTATTTCTTGGTCTTAGTGGATGCCTGCTCTGGAAAAGTCACCAAAAAAAACACATTTCCTAAAATGAACACCCAGATGGAACAGTACCTCAAAGCTGGAATACCAAAGAGGTGAACCAAGGAAATGATATTATATCTCACACCCCATACTTTAACATTTCTGACATTTAAATGGAAACTTGATCTGCATTTTATTGTTTTTATTTATTCTATTGTTTTTCCCAACAGCAGAACAATATAGCAGAATTATACAAGTTCTTAGAGACCTGTTTGTTTCCTCAACAGTTCAGTAGTGCTGATGGCAACGCGAGGTCAGCCAGAAGGCCTGACTGGCTTAGCACCGTATCTGGTTTCCTTAGGTATGGCCAAAGCTGCTGATCTACACGGTAAAGGTTAGTGACACACTTTGTTGTTTTTCATCCTTTGTTTGTCGAGTTACCGTATTTTGGGGCAAAGTCTCTTTCTTTTACATTTTGATTGCTGCTCCTCACCACAGAGTGTCTGGCACTTTGGGGATTCCTGGGTTGCTCTCCACGGCCTCCATCTGTTTCTCTACAAGTGTGTCAGGGGAATGACTTCCTGGGGCTGCAAGAACGCTACCTGCCCCTGGGTTTAGAAGCATGTGGCTGTGCGCCGCCTGCAGCTCAAATGCGCAAAGACCTGGAGCTGCTCAAAAAAGCCACAGGACTATAACTATGACTTATGTGAACTATACTTGCCTACCAAAACACTCTTGCACACAG